CCAAGAAAGAATAGGCTGTGGGTGCATGAGACCCTCATATCCAGAGAGCAGCTTGGGGAATTCAGGCTGGTAAAGGAGCTGAGGTAGCCTGGGGACTGGAGGGGGTCTATTCTGTGAGGATGGGGACATATTGTAGGAGGTGGCCCTCTCCCTGACATAAGGCTTGAGCGGTTAATTGTACAATTATGCAGCTACTAATTTCTAATAAAATAGCGTATAAAATAATGTAGATAGCAGAAAGAGGAACTGATACTAGGCCTGCATGATGGAAAGACCTCACCCATGCAGCTGAGGAGAATCAAGAACTGATAGTGTGCAGAAACAGGAACCCATCATGTGCCCGACACTTATTTTAACCTAGTGCTAGACAAAAGACATGCATCCGCTGGACTTGCTGGCAAACTAGAGCAAACGCAAACGTCAAAACATTTATGCATATACTAGCTGAGTAGAGCAAAGGTAAGAACATGTTGTAGTCACGTACACGGGAAAAATCGCTCTTGCGCCGCGCAAGCCATAGAGAATAATAGGTTTCAGAGGAAAGCGCAGCGCATGCCGCATTCGGTCTGAAACCCGCTTATTTCTGCTTGGTTCTTTGTTTTGTACTTTTGTTTTATTCCTGCTTGCATCCTAGTTTTGTAAGTCTTGTTATCCTGGTTTCTCCTAATTAAGTATTTGTTGTAGTCCTTACCTGTGTCTTGTTCCCAACCCTAGAGTTTGGTTATTTTTTTCCGTCTGCACCTGCCCCTCTTGTAGTTCTCGTTATCTGTGTATTTAAGTGCCTGCCCTCATTCTGTTACTTAGTTGGTCACTGTGTTCAGTTGTGTTACTTTGTGGTTGTCGCTGTGTCATTAGTGGTATTTCCCACAAGTCTTCCTTGTTGTGGTTTTAGTGTTAGTTTTCATTGTGGTTAGTTTTAGTTTTGTTTTACCTGCTTTGTTTTGAGCCCTCGTGATCCCTTTGTTTTCCAGATCTCCTTTTATGTTCGCTTTTGTTTAATAAACCATTTTTGTTGAGAGCCGCTATGTGGATTGTCCCTCCTTCGTCATGCCCTGTTGTAGCAATTATATTATCCTCTGTTTAGTTGTAATTAAGTTGCTATCACTCCAGCATATCTTGTACAAGGTGGAGAACGATGTACCACATAGGTGCATGAATAACAGAGATAAAACCGATCTTTCTGTAGAAAAGTTTCATGTATGCTTCCTGCTCATGATAATCACAACTCATCTCTAAGTTCCATTTCTCTTCCCTTGTTAAAGTGCACATGCTGGCTGCTGGAGAAACATATCAGGCTGATAACACCTTCCTGCAAAAGCTGAAGCTGAAGCAGCAGATAGAGCTCTGCAGTGCAGAGAGTTGCAGCGTCATCCTGCTCTTCTGTCCTGTTGTTTCTCGGATTGGGACAGACATGGAGGCAGCAATGGCCAGAGTTACAGGTGAGACAGGATTCAGTCTCTCACTGCTATTTGTCACCTTTACCCTGAACTGCAGTTGGTAGCCAGTTATTATGTATTTAATCAAAGCTGCATTTCCTGTGAATGAAAACACGTTAAAATCCATCTGTATCTGCTACTCCTGAATTTATCAGCCAAATTGACCATCTGTCAAAGATGTAAATTAAGTCTGGCATGTTTCAGATTTTTGCAGATATTCCATATTTTAGATGTGCAATTTTTACTGATCCAGGGGCAGAAAACAAACGCTTGATATTGCAGGTGTGGGGATGTATTGGTGCCATCTTGAACATTTTTATAAGTAAATAGGTAAAACATCCCCAGATATATGTGAAGCATCTAAGTATACAATTCAATGTAAGCATGTGGTGGCCGTAGAAAACATAGTGATGTTTTTGAGAATCCAGCAGCCCCTTCCTTCTCCAGCCCCTTCCTTCTCTTCCTTATCCACAGAGGGCCAGCAACAGCATCTATCACTGCACATGCTAACCCAATTGGTTTGTTCCTTCCACAGAAGAGAAACCTGTCATCCTGGTGTTCATGCACCACTGTCACGACCCCAGTCAAATGACCAACATCGAAGTGCAACCGTCCAGGAGCAACATAGTTAAAGCCGTCCACTGCGCCTTCCATGAATCACAGGGGCTGCTAGAATGCACAGAAAACGAGGAGGCTGTTGCCGAGGTGCATTTCATGTTGCTGGGGTACAAGCAAAGAAACAGACTTTCTAAAGGGGACACGGTCATTTAAAACTGCACTATAGCTGCATCCATTCTCCTACATTTTAATCAGTTCTGCAATCTTAGTTTGATCATGTTTTTAAAACATACTTTTAAGTGTATTCATGTTGTGGCATGTAAGCTTGCTCATTGTAAGTAATCCACTCTGTCTGTTTAGTTTTTAGTGGTATCAAATGAAAGCCCCGTTCTCTCCCTGAATTCTGCCATTATTATAATTTGCTAACAGTGTCCGTCTACAAATCATTAACCAAGAATATTGTGGCATCTTGAGTAATTTTCCTTACACTCACCCAGCTAAACTTCTTGGTTGCTGATAAATAATTGTTGGCAGTAGACATGGCAAAGAGATGCAAACACTAACCTTGAGGACCAGAGTGTTGCAGGTTTGGGTCCCAGTGGAGATCAGTATAGCATCACTGTTAACTATGTTATGATATATGAAAGGGGAGCCTGCTGAAGTCACCTAAAGTGTCTGTAAGCAAGGTAATGATGTCATTATGGTGCTGAAGAGATTAACTCATGTATAACATTTGGGAAACACCAAGCATGTAATGAACTGCTTGCACACCTGGAAGCACAAACTGATGAAGGCCGTGTGCCAGAATGTTTGTGCTATACCTTTGTTGGACCTATAATATAAACACTGTCAGTCATCTTACCATCAGGGGTGGTATGATTCACCAATTCCCGTCGGTGCACTGGCGTAGAAGTTCACAATGAGATTGCCCAGATTTAGAAAGTGTGCACCAGATGCGATTTGGCATGAACTTGGGATGCATCGTTTGTCACATCTTTGCATTGGTAAAATCTGATTTATCCATATATAATAATTAGTAGAAGCTTTGTGCCTTTATCATTTACAAATGTATCATACTGTACCATATTAAATTGGATAGCATCATATTCTTTTGCATCACTTTGTATTGCATTGAATCTCATTGAATCTCATTGTATTTAATCAAATTGTGTCTAATCTCACTGCATCTCAATAGGGGTGAATCAAATTGTATCACATTAGTAGTTGCTTCATATGTATCTTTAATGTAACCGATCATTGGTAATGCATCAAGCTGCGTATCGTATCTGCCTCAGTGATGAAGATGCACATCCCTATTATATACAGCCTTCGTATATAATTGTGGTGTTGTCGTTCATATGTCACTGTAAGGAAGTTAAATAAGCCTACCTGTAGTGCGTTTGATCAAACAGGAAAAGTTAATAAAGGTATTTATGAATTCACACTTTGTACTTTTTTTGACCAATACTTTTCACATTTAGGCCTAGACTGATTCCCCCTCTCTACACTGTTCTGTATATGTAGCATATTGAATTGCATAGCATCATATTGTTCTGCATTGCATCGTATCACATTGAATCTCATTGTTCAAAATCAAATTGTGTTGAATCGCACTGCATTGTAATAGGGGTGAATCAAATCATATCGCAGTACAACTTGCTTCATATATACATTTAATGTATCGGATTATTGACAGTGCATCGAGATGTGTGTCGCATCAACCTCAATAATGAAGATGCACATCCCTAATATATACTCACCCTGTTAATAATTGTTTAACAAGTGTTATAGTTAATATATCGCTGCCAGGAGATTAAATATGCTTAATTGTGTTGTGCTTGATCAAACAGGAAAAGTTATTAAAGTTATATAAATATTCATAGTCTGCAGGTCTTTTAATTTAAGTCACTATATTGAATTGAACAGGTTTTGATCATTTTGGCCTTTCATATGATGGCCTTCCATAGAGGATGGGTTTTCTGCTCATATGCGCAAACGCGCATGAGGTTTTTATGTGTGCGGGTTTTGAGACTAATTAAATGCCACAGAAATAGTCAACAAGACAAGCCCTAGCAGCAGTATTGATGAATTTTTCTTGTTTCTTTTGAGCAAACAGGTGAAAAGAAAAAGGCAAATATACTGGATGCATCCAATTCTTAAAAAGCTTATACTTACAAAGACTATTGTTTGGTCAAAAAAGAGGTTTGGATGATTTTATTTATTATCAGTTCATAACTACAGGGGATATTCCAGAAAGCAGAAAGCGGTATTTAAAGGTAAGCAAAATTAATATTAAGAACATGGCAGCAACATCATACATTAATGTACAGTATATTATATGTATACTATTAGTTAATTACCTAAAGGAATAGAGAAAACACCACATTGATTTTTTTTACAGCTTTTCTCAGTTGCTTTGGACAATTTCTATAAACTGTCTTAATGATCTCTCAATTGCTTGTGCATTTCTCAAATCAGTTTGCACACTGCAGCACAATAAAGTACTTCATTCAAAACCTTTCATTTATTTTTCAAAATGCAGTTTTTTTTATCAGCCATTTAGTCAATGCCACCGAAGTGTGATATCTCTGAATCATTGCCTATGGACATCCCAGTCAAAATATTTAGTCATGTTGTCATCATGAAAACATATTATGGAAGTATTTTAAGAATTACAACTGATCAATTGTTGCTCAGCTTCCTTCAC